AAAATATCAGATGATTACTTGTTTCATATTTTTAGATTTTTCAATTCGTATTGCTGGAAATAGTGATAATAGGAGAAAAAGATACCGAATTGGCGCGGTTTATTAATCTTGAAGTCTTGGAAGTGAAGTTTGTATAATTGTGTAATTGTTGTTGCTGGTTCTATGTAGTTATGCATTGGATGTGAATGTGGAGAGGGCAGAAGATGTTATAACACATAAGAGATTGCTGCAATTTGCAGAAGACCCTGCTAACCAACCCGCCTTTGAAGTTCGCTCTGTGCAGGTGAACACCTATGCCTTTCTTGGAATAATTTGAATATTAGCTAGCTGTAACTCTGTTGATGCCTAATGCCATCCGTCTTTGTGTGTGGGTTCATGCTTGTCCTTATCCTTGCATTATGCGTGTATGTATAATGGTTTGACTGTGGTCCGCATTCTTTTCTAGTGGAAACCGTTCGACCAACTTTTCTTGCTTGAATATAGTTATCTAGTCTTGAGTTGAAGACTTAGAAGTACCTATTAAAATCAAAGTAATTACCTTAGGCTATGATGCATGATGACTACTTGCTAATCATGAAAATCGTTTTTTTTTATGCAGGTTTGTCCTGTCTTCAATGGAAATTCTGTTGATTCTGTCCATTCAGATTCTTCAATGAAAGAAGATGCACAAAGCACTTTCAATTATTCTAATAGACAAGGGTATGTCACATTGTATAGTTTTATATCAGTTACTTGTATTCTCCATCCTTGTTTTCATTCAATTACCTCACTCTGCATTTTGTACTTTACTCTTATATGTGCTAATCATAGAATTGTCGGTCAACAGGATTCATGCACCTCCCACCTTTGGTTCATCTCCTACTCTTGACGCACTTGCACTTCAAGCCAATAGATACCATGTTGAAGATGGAGGTAGTGCCATGAGTGCAACACCAGTCTTTTCGCGGTAAGAAATGACATTGAACCCAATCTTAAGTAGTTACTCATCCACGGAGAAACGGATTTCTTAATTTTGTAGAGGTGATAAGGTGTCTGCTACTTTGTTGCTCTTTCAAATTATGAAAATACATAGAGACAGAAAGAGATAAGGTTTCTCCACTTAACTTCATGATAAATCTGAGAAGTTTCCCATGTGCCGTGGAATATGTTTGACGGTCAACAGGAATTTTAGTTAACATTATGTTACAAATATTCTATGCTATATAATTCTTTTACAGTTTAGTTTGTTCTGGGTTTTTCTCTCTCCATCTGGTTGTCGACTTTTCGTAGTTTATAGTGTTTTGTACTTGTGAAGTCTGGGGCTACATACTTTAGGCTTACACTCAAGATGCTTCTATATGACAAAGTAAAGTGTTTGATGTTGTTTAACATGGATACAGACACAATATTGGTAGTAATTTATTGCGTTGGCTGTTTGTAAATGTCACTGTTAATTATTGTTGTTAATTGTGTAGGCCTATGCATGAGATCACGTTTTCAACAGTTGACAAGCCCAAACTTCTTAGTCAGGTAGTCCTCATCTGTATATATCCACATGCATGCCATTGACCTTTTATTTCTACCAACTTTTATTCAATGCTGTGCACATCTGATTCTGTTCATAGGTTCGTTCATATCTATGGACATTTTGGTATGTTTGAACTTTCCTTTTAGAATGTCCCTTATAATTTATATATTTATTTCGTACCTGACTTGGAACCAATGCATTACAGTTGGATCCTTTGGATGGACTAGACATACAATGAAAACTCTGTTTAGATACAGAAACCGTTTATCCTATTAGGTGGCTGTTGTTACACATTTTGTACCTTCCACATTTTAGATCAAGCTTGACGTAATATTTATCTCAACCTTGTTCCATCTTTTAAAGAATATCTTAAGCAGTAACATATTCTTTGTTTTCATACTCATCCTGTCTCCGCTGTGACTGGTTACTGATGGATGGATTCTGAAAATGAACATTCTTTTATCAATTGCCATTGTCTGCAACTGGCAATTTGTGCTTCAACTGAGATTATTTCTAGAGACAATTCATATCGATCTTTGTTTACTTTTATAGAAAGGCTTTTTATTTTGTTAGAAGATTATCCTGTAATAGGATGACCTGACTAGTGGGGCTCGAGTCTTGATTTCTGTATTTTTAACCCTGTAGCTATTAAATTTTGGAATTCTGTAGCTCAAGAGTTACTCATCTTTTTTCATGAGATATGCTTGGTGGAGCAGTTCCTAGGTTGTTAACATTAAATTGTGTATTGTCTTAAGATTCAACACTTCTATGGCAAATTTTGTGTTATCTTTCTGTGAGTTTTTGGCCTACTCACTTACTAAATGATACATATTAGTGATTAATTTTCCAGTTAACTTCATTACTTGCTGATATTGGACTGAATATTCAAGAAGCTCATGCTTTCTCCACTGTTGATGGATTTTCTCTTGATGTTTTTGTGGTTGATGGGTGGAAATATGAGGTACGAGTTTGTATGTTTCTTCATGGATATTTGATTCACATGCTTCTTGTTCATTGAACAAAATGTTCTTGCATGTAAAACTTAGGAAACCGAGGAGCTCAAAAGTGTGCTAGAAAAGGAAATTTCAAAATTTAAGGTAAGTTTTCTCCTTGACTTGCTTAATTTTATGGCTGTATCTTGTAGAACAAAATTTAAAATATCTCATTCTTTGAATAGACTCAGACTAGTGTGGTATGGGAATACTTGGGTTGGTTTCTTAAAATCTGGTGAATCTTTGTTTTTGTCTCATGAAAACTGGAAACCACCTACCATCATGCAGAAAATTTGGGTTCATTGCTCCCATCTGATCACACAATTTACTGTGATTTCGTATTTTAGGATCAATCTTGGTCAAACAACATCCAATCGCTGCTATTGGTGAGGACAATCAAACAAGGAATGAATCCTTCCCCAGTAGCATAGAAATACCAACTGATGGAACAGATGTCTGGGAGATTGATACAAGGCAGCTGAAATTTGAGAACAAAGTTGGATCTGGGTCTTTCGGTGATCTGTAAGTTACATTTTGAATCTGTGTTGTATTTTATGCAGGTTCTCATTTGACATGCTGTTTCCAACTTCTTTCAGGTACAGAGGCACATATTGTACTCAGGAAGTTGCCATAAAAGTTCTCAAACCTGAGCGTGTCAATGCAGAGATGCTGAGGGATTTTTCACAGGAAGTTTACATTTTGAGGTTCACTCATATACCTGCTTATACTTGTTGATGGCAGTTGTCATTTTCAGTGCAGCTTTGTAAGCTTCTTGATATCATGAGATTTGGCAGGAAGATTCGGCACAAGAATGTTGTGCAATTTATCGGTGCATGTACACGACCTCCAAACCTATGTATTGTGACAGGTATATCTTAGATTGTACACACACACACACACACACACATATATATATATATATATATATATATATACATGTATATATACATATATGTATGTATGTATAATGTTGTGTGTGTATATATATATTAATGATTCTCATGGGTGCATCTATCTTATTTCTTGAGTAGTCGTTTTTGCTATGGATGGCTGCCATACTTTCATCCTTGTTATACAATGTCTAATTGGTTACAACTAGAAGAAAATAGTGTCATTGATTGTCAACAGTTATGAATTTTTATTTTGTGAAATATAGTGCATTTTGAATTCACTGATGACCACCTTTTGATGCTCATGTTCCTGCTTATCAGAGTTTATGTCCAAAGGAAGTGTGTACGATTTTCTGCATAAGCACAAGGGTGTGTTTAAGCTTCCATCTCTACTCAAAGTAGCAATTGACGTTTCCAAGGGAATGAACTATTTGCACCAAAATAATATAATCCACAGGGATCTTAAGACTGCCAATCTTCTTATGGATGAACATGAAGTAAGTGGAATTCATGACTATTCAATCAAAAATTCATTTGTCAGCCACATATGTTTTCCCTTTGCATTTATATAGATCAAAATTCAAACAAAATTTTGTTTCTCAATTAACTATTCTTTCTTAACATGTTTGCGGATTTTTAATGTTTGGAATCGTATATCCTTCCTGTGCAGGTTGTTAAGGTTGCTGATTTTGGGGTTGCCAGAGTGCAGACTCAATCTGGAGTGATGACAGCTGAAACTGGTACATACCGCTGGATGGCTCCTGAGGTAGTAATCTCCTTGGACATCTACTTTAAATCCTACTTTGTTTGAAGTGATACAATTCATATTTTAAATATTCATGGGGTTCAACTCAAGGGGAGTTAGAGCTATCATGCGGCTTTTTTGGCCTGCTATCATCGGGTTCAACAATAATTAAGTTGGTTGGTAGTTTGTGCTGACTTCATTTAACATAACCTATCTCTCAGCTTCTTTTTACCATGGTCTTGTGAAGGTCATCGAACACAAACCATATGATCACAAGGCAGATGTTTTCAGTTTTGGAATAGTTCTGTGGGAGCTTCTAACTGGACAAGTAAGTGCTTACTTAACTTTGCAAGAAGTTTATGTTACTATGCTTGCTTCTGCCTTTGCTATTCAGCGCGTCAGTTGATGATGGCATTAATTTCAAAACTCACGGTCATCTTTATGGTGTATTTACCAGCTCCCCTACTCATCCTTGACACCGTTACAAGCAGCAGTAGGTGTGGTGCAAAAGGTACTTACCCAATTTCTAATTTGGCATAACTCTACCACATGATATTCTTATGGATTAACTTTTATTTGGCACGGCATTCAGAGCCTACGACCTACAATTCCCAAGACCACTCACCCAAGATTCGCCGAACTGCTTGAGAGATGCTGGCAACAAGACCCGACTCAAAGGCCCCCCTTCTCCGATATTGTAGAAATCCTACAGAATTTGGCCAAAGAGGTACTTTCTTGCCCAACCATAAAGCTTCTGGGCCGTTAAACATATTCAAATGATTAAATCCTATAATCTCAACACAGGTTGGAAATGAGGGAGAAGATCGACGCAGATCTGGTGGTTTTTTCTCGGCACTTAGATGGGGCAATCACTGAGAAGAGAACAGTTGATGAGAGAAATCTGATCTTGCACATGACCATTTTCATTGCACATACTTTTTGCATTGTACAGATTTTTCCAATCACACAGTTGTTCTATTGTAGTTTGTTTGTTGTGTTTTCCTAGTGGTCTTCTCTTCAGAGACTTGAATTTGCATCTACTGGTTCAGTCCGGCCGGCTGGTTAACAGTAAATATTAATGAGCCTGTCATTGACAGATAATGTTAACTACCCATATGGTATGGTATTATATTTTTTGTTTGACATTGAAATATTATTTATTGACATTGAACTGCAGGAACTTTCCGGGCGAATTATCTTTCCGGTTAGCCGGAGAGTTTGAACTTAAAATTACACATCCATTTACTAGGAAATTCACTTACCAAATCGTTGTTACAAATTCTTAAAACCATACATCACTAGACTTGTTCAGCAAACACTGGTTAACTTGCGACGGATCTGCCGTCAGTAGACCCCGCTGAGGAGCTGCCGTGCACGAACCTTGACCTGCAACCGGACCATCGAGTGCATGCAATACAGAGCTATACGCGCCTGTTTCCGCACACACACCCCACGAACCAACGCCTGCAGCTTCACAAGGCTCCTCAGTGCTCGAAACGCTTGCCTGGCCTGTCAAATTGTTCAAATCATCACAATTATCATCCATCAAAGCAAAACTTGGCGTATAAAAAAAAAAAAAAAAAAAAAAAAAAAAAGGAACAAGTTGGGGTAATGTACAAGGTGTCCCCTGAAAAAGGCTTGGAGTCTGATGGCTGCAATGTCTTCCTTGGTGAAAATTCTCCTTTCGAATGCCGAAGGTGACGAAGCAACGAACGACGATGATGACGAAGCAATGCGGTCGATTTTTTCGTACCGGGCTGATTCATCGTGAGTGCTCGGGGTGGTGTTGGTTTGGACGACGACGATATCTCTGTTGGATGATCCGACTAACTTTCTTCGGATTGTTCTGAACCACTTGCGAGTAGTTCCCATGTTCTTGTATAGTTTTGCGTGTGATATAACAAGTATGAGAGTTCTGTTGGGGCATTTTCCACTTAAAAGCAAATTGAAACGGTGACGTAAAGGAAGGAGATGTGGCCACCATGTTGAGAGAGAGATGATTTCTGCTTGTCTGAGACGGAGAACGTGGTGGGATGAATCCTACGCTGAAGTCTCAAACCAACCCAGAGTCTCAAACACATAAATAAAAGGTTGAAAACTAATAAAATACAACCTCCATCTTTTTTCAATTAGAAAACGACATATCGGTTTTTCGAGCTTCGAGATTGATTGGTTCGAGTTTTATGACATGTTTACTTAAACGAAACAGGGAAATCATAAATAGTGAAGGATTAAGAAGATGAGAATCAGCTGAACAACAAACAGTTTCCGTTTTTTTTTTTTTTGTTAGATTATTGATTTTAACGTGACATGAGTATATATTTTTTTATTTCATATGCAATATAAATAGGTAAAACTAAAAGTCAAGAATTAGAATAATTTAAATATAAATTATAACAAACAACGCCTTTAAAAGTCAAGAACTAAAATAGTTTCAATTGTCGATTAGTAAGCGACTATAATATTGGATGCCAACTTTGTGGTTGTGATAGCTTAATTTATTTACTAATTTTGCTTTTACATGATTTTTTCCTGTTGCCACATTTTTACAATAATATTCTTTGGAACCAAGTTTCTATGCTTCCGCAGGGCTCTACTGCCACTTTATCTGTGTTTTTATTTTTCCTGCAGCATAAACTTTGGTTCCAAAGTCCTCTCTCTCTCTCTTTCTCTCTCTTCTCTCTCTCTCTCTCTCCCTTTGGCAAGAAACAATCACATTTCATATCTCTGTTGGAAGTCCAGTCTGTGTCCAAACAGCATACCCACCAGCTATATCTGTAATGCCAGTGAAACCCTGCAAAAAGAAGATCAAAGAACAAAGATCTGGTCAGTTTTTATCAATTCTTTGATTGCAAGGATACCAATTCCAAGGGGGCTCTTCGCAGATAAGTCCCTTGTAACTCCCTTAATTAGCCAAAAACACTTTAAGCACCGTTTTGAATAAGGAAAAGGACCTGGTTGCCCGAACAAAGATTGCACCGATTATTAGTTTAATTGTTAGTGGAGGGATTTTGTCTTCTAACTTGATTCTTGAGCTATTTTTTCACCAACATTAACAATTGGATTTCACTAGACTATTATTTCACCGACGTTAATAATTGATAGGTAAGAGTTTTTCTTTCTCTTTCTATAATTGGATCCTCGAAGTGTTTCTTACTAACGTTAAGTACCGATTACTGAAACAAAACATGTCTAAAACACACATTCTGGCTTTGGATAAATTCTTTTCGGAATTTTAATCGGCAATACAAGTTATGCAACCTATTTGACAATGACGTTCAACCAAAATGCGATGCACATTTTTCATCTTCATCAACCACTTACTTAGAGATAAAGTAAAAAAGCAGTGAAAGGTAAGTAAGGGTAATGTGCTTACAGCAGCTACAAGATCAGTTGCAGCCATCATCGACCTTTTCCCAAGCTGGCATCCCTGTGGAAAGGCATAAGAACAAAGCTTAACCACGACAGAAATTTACAAAAAAACTATTGAAAGAAAAAAGAAGAAGAAATTAGGAGTAAAACATTTTGAGTAATTGGACTCACAACTATAATCTCATCATGTTTTCTGAAATGTGATGACACTTCTTTTAGAAATTCTGGGTTCTTTGACATCCCTGCATAGAACAACATTGCCAAAATGTTTACTATACCATTATAACACAAAACATGCCAAACCTTGTTAAACAACATCTTTATTCGAATTCCCTGATCGTTCGAGTTCGAAAAATAAAAATAAACTTTTCTCACCATAATGTCACTACAATTTCTAGTAGGACCAAAATTTTTGCCTAAATATGAGAGATGACCCCTATGGTTCAATTTCAAACTGTAATAAAAAAGCAATGTTTTAAAAGGCTCGCCTCAGGGCTTGCCTAGGCACCTTGTGAGGCTGGGCTTGAGGGTTGCCGCCTCTGTTTTGAGGGAGTGGGCGGAAGGCAGCATAAGGTGTCACTGGAGCTGCCTAGGCACGCCTCAGGGGAGTTTTTTTTTTTTTTTTTTTTTTTTTTTACTCCCAAACCCAAAGTTTAAGTAGGGTTTTAACTGCCTCATACCTCTTCCTTGCACTATCATCTTTCCGCCTTTTCTTCTGATTTTTATTTTTTTATATAATGGATGTGTGTGTTGTCTACGTGCATTGTTATATGTGTGCTCATTGTGCTTTTCATCCTCTATTATATAATATATATATATATATATATAAAATATAATATATGTATATATATGTGTGTATATGTATTTATAATATATGTGTGTGCTCAAGGTGATTATTGATTAATAATTTTTTTTAATGTAATATATTAAAAAATTTAGGTCCCGTGAGACGAAGCTATACCTCGAACGCCTCGCCCACGCCTCACGCTTTTAATACATTGTAAAAGAGACACAAAAACTGTGAATTTTTCTACTAAATACATTGTTAAAATTACGGCTAGATGTAAATGTTATGGATGCAACAGTCATATATGACGGTCTAAAGGATTCCAAAGCACAATTCAGAATTTTTTTTTTTTTTTTTTTTTTTTTTTTTTTGCAACGAAGATTGCAAATTTTCAATGTTACTCAACTAGGGCAAGAAAAAACAATGTTAATTAATTAATTTTTCTGCAGTTGTTTAATAAAATGTGGTTCTTGAGCCACTCTTTTTGGTGATTATAATTCTGAAAAATAATTTAACAAAATAGTGGAGGAAAAAGGGGTGGAGAATGGAGAAAATACTGAACCTGAGCCAACTTTGTACAAGTAAGGGATGTTAACAGCCCCAGGTGCATGGCCTGCACTAAACTCCCCAGGAGTCCTACACAAAAATTAAAAAAAACTCAAAAAAAAAAGAACAGTTAAACAAAATGTTAATCAAAGATTAACAAAGTGCTTAACTTAATACAAAAAGATTAAATAGGCTTAAAAAGAAAACAGAGAAGTTACCTGACATCCAAATATTTGTGTCCAGCTTGAAGAAGCTCGTGAGCCACACGAACTGGCACCGAAGTTGGAACTCCAACGGCCTCCAAATTCCTCTTCTGAGAAACTTTCACACTTTCCCAGTTACCAAATAAGATCCAGTTAGTGAAAAACCACAATAACAATCTGGAAGTAATGATTTTCCTACTCCCATTTTTCTCCCCATGCACTCGCGCCATCCATTTTTTTCTCGCATTTGGATCGAATAATAAAAAAGAATCAAGAGACATTAACAAAAGGCGAGGGGTGCGAGAAAGCACAAGTCTGAAATTTGTTACCTAACAATGTTATACTTACATAATTAAAAATAATTTTATTTTTCTAGTTTTGTTGGGTTTTTTTTCTTCTACTTACCAGAAGTTGAAGTTGTTTTGGAGTTCAGTGCCAAGTCTCTTCCCGTTTAGAGAAAATGAAGATTTGTGGATGAGATTTTTGTGAGAAAGAAGTGAAGGATGTCGAATTGCAGCAGAGCTAGTAAAGCAAGAGGAGGATGATATAGACGAAACCGCCATCATATTTCTAATTATTTAGGTTTTTGGTATCTGAGATTTGCAGATTGCAATGCAGCTTTGCAGTTTTATCAGAGCAATTTTGGAAAATGGTTGTGAGGGAGGATTAATGGGGGTGTCATGTCAGAGAAATCGCCATCATATTTCTAATTATTGAAGTCTTAGCTGTTGTTTTGGTATTCAGATAGACTCAAAAATGAGGCACACATACTTTTGCATGGATAAGTTTCAACCTTTGCTCGTTTTTACATGTATGTACACCTGGTGGTGGATGAGACTGCTGACAAGATTCTTTGTTTTGGGAGTTATTAGGATAATACTAGAGAGATCAAATCTTTTAAATTAAATGATGTGGTTATTGATGATTGAATTATTACTTAAGCATTGATTAATGTGTTTATTTTCTATTGGTGGCATATCATTTGATTTCCAAATTTGGTTTATAATTTTGGTTACCCTAGCATTACCCTTGAGATTATTCCCGGCTAATGTTAGACTAAATTTGTAAACCAAGTTTTTTTAAACTAAATGATATGGAAGTTGATGATTGGATTTCAAGTGTTGATTAACGTGCTTATTTCTTATCAGTGACATATCATTTAGAGCAACTCTACCCCTAAAAGTCCCCCTAGGCTATAGGCAAGTCCACCCCTAAAAGTTCCCTTAAAGTAGGGATGGGTAAATACCCATTGGTTATGGATAACTGCGATTATCCGCTCATTTAAATTTCACGGTTACGGTTATGGATCACCGTTTAAATAAATAAACGGTTATGGGTATAACCGTTTACCCGTGAAATTTAAATGGGTGGTTATGGGTATTACCCGTGGTTATAAACGGGTACCCATTTAACCGTTTATTTTAATATATGTAAAACTAAGAAAAAAAAAGTTTCTAGCTAAGTTTAGTATCCCGAAGAAATTGGAGTGCTCCACGGTATGCAGGTTGCCCTGGGGGTGTGTCTATGTCACATCTATTTTTTGCGGATGATTCGGTGATTTTTTGTCGAGAGTACAGGATTAAAGGAGTACTAGAGGTGCTTGATTGTTATGTGGATGGTTCCGGGCAATTTATTAATCGGGAGAAAAGCTCCTTATTTTTTTGGAGCTAATTGTTCTACATGGCAAAGGAAGACAATTGGGCAATGTACTAATACTCAAGATAGGGATGGTTTTGGGAAGTACTTGGGATTTTGGGCATTCCGTGCATCCATACCCTTCCGGACTTCTTCGATGGATGGGCAGAGCAATATTTGTCGCAAGCGGGTAAGGAGGTGTTAATTAAGGCAGTTGCAATGGCTTTGCCAAGCTATGCGATGTCTTGTTTTAAGCTTCCGGTGAGTACGTGCAAAGAGATGGAGCGGGACATAGTGAGACTCTGGTGGAGGGGAAATAAAAAATTTTGGAATGCCTTGGATTGCATGGGAAAAATTGAAGAAGAGTAAGGCGGGGGGCTAA